TCATGTAAAAGGGTTTGGATTGCATTACCTAGAACCCCTGATACCATGTTGAAAGATTGGAGAGAAGCTGTGGTTGAATCTGTCGATCTCACACCTTGCAATTTGTAACGCTTCTCTTGCCACTTGAAAATTATGAACATATCCTTCCAGTTAGCTTGAATCGTATTGAGAGAAGCTAACCATTTGATACCAAAAATCAAATCAGCCCCTCCAATTGCAAAAGGGTAGTAATCCTAAGTGATAGTAAAGCCTGGCAATTGAATTTGAAGATTCCAACAAACTTTATTGCAGCGTATGATATCCCTATTCCCTATTTGCACACTGAATGTTGGAACCATTTCTACTGGTATATTATGCTCCTCCACAATGGATTCAGCCACAAAATTATGTGTGGAACCATCCACAAGTATTAAAACCTTTTTACCATTGATCTCACCCTGAAGCTTCATTGTAGCACCCATTGATTGTCCCAAAATGGCATGGAAGGAAATTTCAGCAAGGTCATTTTCTTGAGGGTTATCACCAATTACTGCATTGACCTCATCAACCTCTTCCAATTGACCTTCTCCAGTAATCTCCATGAGAGATAATTTTGCAGATTTGCATCTATGACCGGGTGCAAATTTCTCATGGCAACAAAAGCAAAGTCCTTGTGCCATAAGATTTCTCCTCTCGGTATACCATGTTCGCGTTTGAAGAGGTTGTGAAGCGGCTGGGTTGGATGAAACACTGTTGCGTAAATTGTGATTTGCAGATGAAGAATTGTTCTAGGTGTTTCTAAAAGAATTCAATGGATTTTGTATCGTGGGTCTATTGTTTGGGGTCCAATTAGGCACTCTATTGCTGCGAGTTGTGCCTAATTTATTTTCAAATTCAAGTGCCAAACTCATAGCCCTGTAAACTGTTCTAGGTTTGTGAATCCTAACATCAGATTTAAGTTCCTCTTTCAACCCATTCAGGAACACCCCTAAGAGACAGTGATCTGGCCAATTTGTAACCCTAGATGAACGCTTTGCAAATTCTTGACGATACTCATGTACAACACTTGTTTGCTGAATGTTACAAAGGTGCTCGTCGGGATTTTGAAACTCTGTAGGACCATAATTTTCCTACAATGCTTTAACAAGTTCTTCCCAATAAAGCAAAGTTCGCTCACGATTTATCCAAGAGAAGAGATCCAGAACATCCCCTTCCAAATACATCGCCGCGATGTCAACTTTATGTTTCTCTTGAGTTTGATAGTAGCAGAAATATTTTTCTGCTTTCAAAATCCACCCTCTAGGATCGCCTCCTTCAAATCTGGGGAATTCCATCTTTGTGTATGGCTTTCGGGGAGGATTTTTTGACCAAGATGGACTATCAATTTCTTCTTCCTCATCTTGCCAAATAGACTTTCCTTTATTACGGTTTCTGTGACTGGATTCTTCTTGTTGAGTGCAACTAGTCTGGGCCTTCAATGTTGCAACATCTGCTGCCAGGGAGTCAATCGTATTTAACTTTGACGCTATGACAGATAATTGTTGGGCAAGAGATTCAACATTGGGAACGCCTTCTTGGGAATTAGACAATCTAGTATTGACCATGTTGAATCGATCTACTCTGATACCAAAACTGATAGTAACCAGAAGTAAAGATCTGACAAAATAGAACAAAGCAAGTAGATTTACTGTTAAATAGTTTGTGCAAGTATCTTAAACACAACTATACAGATAAAGTTGTCCGTATGGAGAGGACAAGACTGCAGAAATATTAGTTTTGATTCTTAATTACATAATACTAATAACTCATCCTAATTACATATATATAGAGAACATAAAAGGATAAGACTGACACTATAAACTATAAACTAGGAATAATAACTGCTAGACAACTGCTGTAGCAGTTGTTTGTCCAGAATTCAACTCTTTATTCTTTTGTCGATATTTTCTTCTAAGATACGTCTTGAGAGGTGGGTTGGTATCAGAATCATTTGACGGAACTGCAGGTTGGCCCGTAGGTCGACCTACGGTTCGTCGTTTGTAACCATGGTTCCACACTTGGTCAAGAATTCCCTGATTTTCCTTCAAGCCTTGCCTGCCCATCTACGTCTACCATCTACGGGGCGTGACTGGACCTACGGTCCGTCAGGTCACGTTCGTAGATGCCCTTTTCAGTGGCCTGTTCAAGAATTAAAATCTCTTCCAAAGCTTTGTTAGTTTTGGTAGAAACTTTGCCAAAAAACTCCATATTCCATGTAACCAAATCGCTCTTCAAGGATTTCAACTTCTAAAAGAGGATGAAATCTGGAGAACCATTAACCACATAGCATTGCCACCACTACTTTACCGAGTCAATAAATTCTTCATACTGGAGCCACATATTCTCAAATTTTGAAATAAGAAGGTTTATTTCCAGTCACCACTCTCTAAAAAATTGGGTTTGTCTTGATGTGCCAGATCCAGCCAACTCTGTTTGCATGCAGCCTCAAAAGAAGACTTACCCTGGGTAGTGAACCTTTGAAGAGCTGGGTTCGTCGGCTTGCCCAACAATCTTCGAAGCAATTTCACACCAGCCAATAATAATAGCACTTTTCATGTCTCCCTCCAAGTCCCAATTCATAGAAAGCGCCTATAAATATTGTAATTTTGATATACCCTATGTAGATCATTACGTTGCCTTCTTCTCCATCTTCTGTAGAAGTTACTACATCCCCGAGAAGCCTGTTATAGCGCATTACAAACCCATCTCAGGTTGCTTTCGTCGATTTTTACTTTGCTGGGGAATCGACCGTTTTGTTCACTGAATAAGAACCACCTAAACTGGCCTTCGCTAATATCCTTAAATTCAAAAGATTTATCACCTGAAAAGAAGAAACAACTCCCACCCATAATAAAGAAGAAAGAAAATAAAGGAGGGAGAATTTTTGGGCGATCAGAGTGATCACCGGAGAGAGAAACTAAGACCCAGAAGGGAGTCCTCGAAAAATGTGTCTGGTAGCATATTCTTTGACAAAATTTTATATTTTGTTCGCTTATTAGTTAACTTTGCATGGATTTCAAAGAATGCAGGTATTTTGCAACAACCACCATCCAGCATATTATTGACATTGTTTCACCGAGAACAATTTATTGTTTATTGGAGAAAAGCAACACCAGAGTTTCCTATAAAAGTAAGCCTTCATATTGACAGAGTCTCATTCGACCTTCATATTGACAGAAGTCTCATTCGACCTCATACAAGCTAAACTTTAAACAGGACTTTCAGAGCATAAACAGAATTAGTTATTCAAAGTGGCACAGACACAAACACTAGCACCATTGGACGCCGAGACAGATAGGTTGATGATAACTCTTCGATTTTTTTTAAAAGGTGATGATTGTAAACACAACACACCACAAGGGGAGTGCTGTACATTATGTACATGTGTGGTAAAAACAGTACGACCCTCAGCTAAGATTAGAATCTACAAACTCTAATAAAGTTTCTATCTCGTTAGTAGCATATTCCAGTTTGCACTAAGAACTAAACAACAAAAGATAATCTAACTGTACAAGTTGTTTAAAGTTTTCAAAATTGCTTCTCAAGTTCAGGTAATATGCTTTGTACAGAGTACAGCAAAGGGGAATCCTCAGTCAAATCTTGTTACAGAATTATGTCAAAGGAAGACCAACTCCAACATATTAAGCAATGTCCCGGGAAGCATATCTTGGAAAGTTCTTTGAAAAATGGGGAATATGACAGTAGTAAGACACAATTATAAATTTATAATATTAATCTTTTATATTTTGTTACACTCCATGGATAATATAGATTCTAACCACAATACATTCAAGTAATTCAATATCTCTATATAATTTAAATAACCAACCATGCCTAAATACTAAAAGAGCAAAAATACAAAACAACAGATATCTAAATCTATGAGCAAATTCTCCTCTTCTTTCTGATTTGGGGCCTGATCCCATAAAAGAGAATAGATATTCCATTTTTACATTTGGGTGTGTCACAAAAAGCCTCACATATCACTTGAAACTTCTTGTTTTCTACACCTCGAGAAGAATCTGAACAAAATAATAAAAGGGGAAGCAACATTCATTTGGTTTCTTGTTGAGCGACATGAGTTTTGTCTCTCAAGAAGCTAACACAATTACACAAATGTCCAAATTTTAAAACATTAAGCGAATAATTAGAACACAACTTTGTGTTGGCAACAGAGACCTATCTAGTGGTAATCAAATATTTTGGATTCATACTCCCGCATAAGTCAAATTCATTATCAAGAAAATTGTTAGTGTGATTCCATGAGGAGATTCATGTAAAGATGCACATAAATGATTTGGTATGGGATTAAGGTGTAATTGATTGAAATCAATGAAAGACTAACTAATGCACATATATGTCTGCACACAAAAGTTTGAAGAGCAAAGTTACAAGCTTGCAACATTTATGAGATATGACAAATGTGTTGTTAATCATACTACAAAAAATCATGTGGTCTAGGAGATAAAAATAAAGTTTTAGAAACTAGTAAAAAGAATATAGTGCCTTGAGAAACTCATCATGCAATTTTTTTATTAGGCTGTTAGTATAAAATCCTAATACTTCTAAACCTAGAGCAAGGATCTTCCCTGGCTCACTTAGTTAATCCTATGCCTACCATCACTAGAGACAGTTCAATCATTGTCCTACCTGCAGCAAAAGCGAGGAAAAAGAAGGGGACTCTACCCTTCACCAACTTTTGGCCAAAGAGTGGGGATTGAAAGAGCTCAAATACCTCCAAACTTCTATAATTAGGAAAATTGATTGCGAATTTACTTCCAGTTCTGCTCTCAATGTCAAATAACAAGTGCCAATGTCTGAAAAACTAGTTAAATTCCATAAAGGGTCCTATTGCACATTCGGAAATGCAACTGAAATTAGTTTGAGGAGCAAAAGTTAAAACCATGAAACAAAATTATTTTTCAGAAACCAATGTCATGTAAATATTTACATGATTCAAAACCAACATTTTTAAATGTTACCTAATATTAGGAGATGGCATACATTTTACACCAAACTTCGAAATTTGTTCAGTTACTTCTAGTCTGTTGGAGAAATCCAGGATAGATGAACTTCTTGAAATTACAAACAATTGTCCAAAGCTTTCATTCTCGGCTGCTGGCAAAGACTGCAACATGATTGCATTCATTCTATAAGCCATGAACTGTAAAGTATACAAAAGAAACAATCAGAAACTACTTGATGCTACAATAATGTGAAACGAAAGAAGGGGCATGAAAGAATCAGTGTAATCTCTGTATGTATATAACATTCAAAGTTTTCACAGTAAAGGCCTACTGCAGACATCCCAGGGTACACAATCAATTTGTCGAACTATATGCTGGATCTCAAACCAGATAAAATACTCTTGAAAGTTGAAGGTATTCCAGCAAAATACAAGCACTCTTCATGTCATCATTCAGAAAAACAAGTAGCTAGGTCAGGTTTTATTCACATTTTGAAGGTGCCGTTTTCAATTTGCCAACCAAAACTTAAGCAAGAGTCCTACATTGAAGGGAAAGCTTTAAATTTCCCCAATAAGTGGCTCAGTGACGAGTGTTTTGGTACATGTTTTAATAATGAAATAAATTACTTATCCAGAGAATCAGAAGTGGTTCAATCATGACCACTCAGCATTCTATATTCAATCTATTGGTTTTTCTTTTTTCCTGATAAATCATAGATTTAGTGTCTAAACCCTAGGGGCCGTTTGCTTACGGTATAAGAGTTCATTTTATTCATGTATTAAAGATTGTATTAGTTTTGCTATGTTTGGTAGAAGTTTTTTTATTAGGTAGAAAAGTCAACAAAATTTATACCATGTTTGGTTGGTAGGATTTTAAAAGTTATATAAAAGTTAATTCATGTATTAATTTTATACGGTGTTTGGTTGCGTTCTTTGTAGTCCTACATAATTATACCAACATAACTTATGAGAGAATCTATGTATAAGTTATGTGGGGTAAAAGGTGGAATAAGTTATGCAGGTATTAGTTATACATGTATTAAAATAGTAAATTACATATTTACCCCTATTAATTTATTTTTAAAATTTTTTATTGAGAACTTAACCTGACTACTGTACTGCATTCTTATTTTTTTTTCTTTTTCTTTTTAACACACGATCAACAGCCTCTTTTTTTTTTTTGGTTTACATTTGGATTCCAAATGAAAATATTTATTAATATTACAGTTTGGGTGGTATATATTTTGTCGGCACATATGTTAATCATATTCTAATTCATATATTTGGTGTATTAAAATTGTATAAACAATATATAAAATATATTTATAGAATATTTACTATAATAATGTATTGTAATCTCTATATAATTAAATAATACATACATAACTAAACCCTGCATAATTAATATCTACATAACTAATACCCTGCATAACTAAACCGTGCTTAACTAAACTCTCCATAACTAATACCTACATAACTAATACCTGCAGAACTAATACATGCATAACTCTAACCAGTAACCAAACGGCCCCTAATGGTTGTGAGAAATATATGAAAAGAATATTATTGAATTGTGTTTTAATTATTACATAAAGAACCCTATTTATAGACACTATGATACAATTCCTTACCAAATAAGAGACTATAAACTAGTCCTATTCTGTATAGGATTGTGTATACCTATTCTATTCTAACACTCCCCCTCAAGTTGGTGCATACAAATTATATGTACCTAGCTTGTTACAAATGTAATTAATATGAGGACTGGTGAGGGACTTGGTGAAGATATCTGCAAGTTGATCATTTGACTTCACAAATTTGGTAACAATATCTCCTGAGAGTATCTTTTCTCTGACAAAGTGACAATCAATCTCAATGTGCTTAGTCCTCTCATGAAACAGTGGATTTGATGCGATATAAAGGGCCGCTTGATTATCATACACAAGTTACATATGGCCGGTTTCTCCAAACTTCAGCTCTTCAAGCAACTGTTTGATCCAAACTAGCTCACAAGTTGCTACAACCATTGCTCGATATTCTGCTTCTGCACTGGATCGAGCAACCACACTTTATTTCTTACTCTTCCATGACACCAAATTACCTCCTACTAAAACACAATATTCAGATGTAGAACGTCTATCAAAAGGTGATCCTGGCCAAGGTGATATGCTCATGACCTTGATCCTCAAAGAGTAGTCCTTTACCAAGGGCTGACTTTATATATCTGTAACACCCCGTATTCAAATCAGGCCAAAAATGTAGATTTTGAGAAGTTGCAGGTGCAACCCACGGTTGCCATCCATGGACCGTAGTTCAGACCACGGCCCGTGCTGGTGGTCCGTGGTTCACCACTGCAATCCCTCCCCAGCTAAGCTCAGAAAAATCGGCTAAGTCTCGACGCACGAATAGACCCACGGTCCGTAAATCAGACAATGGTCTGTGGTCTATGTCCGTGGATCAAGACCTCATTTACCCAGCCTCTGAAACAAATTACGGTCGACCAGCACGGACCGTCAATCGATTCACGGTCCGTAGGTCTGACCGTAGATGAGGGTCAGCAACTAGTTAGCTGAAAATTGTTGAGGGGTCAACTTCAGATGGTCATAACTCTTAGCAAAAAATGAATTATATGTCCCATGACCTATTGTTAGATAGATAATTTAATTATCTTTCCAACTCCACCGAGTTTGCTAAATTCCGACCTCCGAGTAAAATGTTATGCTCATTTTAGTGAAGCCCTATCGGGGACCGTCGATTGAATGACGGCACGTCAATCCAGTCCGTCAGTCACTCCGACAGCAGCTAAGTCAGGGGTCTTTTGGTCTTTTCCTATTTCGTTTAACCCCTAAGATACGTTGTTTAAATCCTAAATCATGAGGTTTTAATCAGTTTAAGCCTAGAAACATAACTAGAACTTATCCAAGTCAATTCATTAATCAAAATCTTAGAAAATTAGAGTTAAGAGAGGAGAAAAAGGTCAAGAACCCTAGTTCAAGAACGCAGCAAGGTTCCATCAGTTCTAGCCCCGAAATTGAAAGATTTCTCCGTGGAATTCGTCACCAGGTATGTGGGATTTCACTAGTGGGTTCCTTTCGCCCATTGGGTCCCTAGAATTCAGTCAGATTCTTGATTCCATGATTATGAACAGACCTAGGGTTTCTAGAATTTCAATAGATCATCATGAATTAGTTATTTAAATGTTCCAAATCAGATTATCATGTTATTGCTCAGTTTATCGCATAAATTTCAGAACCCTAGCTATGTATTTCTTTAGTTCTTGAATTACACATGCTAGACCAGATATTTCAGTATTCAGTTATACATGCCTCGGTTCATGAATGCATCATTATTAGATTAATTGTTGCATTCTCAGTTTGCATGTTCAGTTTCGAGCTATCCAGTATTTACAGAAATTCAATCATAACCAGTTAACCACTTAATTCATTGGGAGTAGCATAATACCGAGTTGGACTAGGGTTCACCGTACCCATATAGTCCCAGAACTACGAGCCACGTAGGTATAAGTCCCTTCTGTGGGCAACATCAGTTTAGTGATCACGCCAGCATGCCTATATACCTCTGGCAGGGTATATTAGGTCCTCTGAATGGGGCGTATACATCGGACTCCACATTTAGCTCATGTGGTTTTATGTCGGTAATTAGTAGCTCCCACAGTTCAGTCAGACTCTTTTGCATTGACCATATTTCAGTATAGTCAGTATTCAGTCTCAACATGTTATAAATTTGGTCATTGCACCAGTTAGCTCAGTATTCAGTATTTTTAGTATCTATATCATGTTCAGATTATTTCATTGCTTTTTTGCTTTGTTCAGTTATATGTTATTTCAGCTTTACTCGATCCTGCATGCTCAGTACCTTTCAAGTACTGACGCATACGTGCACTACATCTTCTCGTGATGTAGATTCAGGTTCTCAGCACCCAGATCACGCTTAGATTGATTCCCGATCTTCAGTTCAGTAGCATCAGTGGTGAGTCCTCATTCTTCGAGGACTAGTGACATGTTTATCTTTATTGCTTTAGTCTTTAGTTTCAGTTTTGCTAGACCTAGTTGGGGCATGTCCCAACATTTCTAGTCAGTTTAAAGGCTTATTTCAGACACAGTTAGATTCAGCTTAGTATTTTGAGTTTGATATTTCTTTTGTATTAAACTCTCAGATTTGATACATTCAGTTATAGTATATGGGTATTCCCCATCTTTTCAGAGTTATTTATGAATTAGCTTCCGCATCAGTTTATTATTTTTAGTATGCTCATGATCATGCCATCAGGGTTAGCTTGGGATCACGTGTGGTCCTAGGTCCCGTGTCCGCGTCTCGGGGGTAGCTCGGGGCGTGACAAACTTGGTATCAGAGCCTTAGGTTTAAGAGTCCTAGGATGTCTGAAAAGTCGTACTAAGTAGAGTCATTTTCATGGGTGTGAAGTGCACCACATCTAATGAGAGGGAGGCTATGAAGTATTTTAGGAAAACTTCACTCTCTTTGTTATTCTTATCGTGCGTTGGTATGATCTCCTTTCTAATTAGTCGTTATGCGCTTAAGATCATGCCTCCCCATCGAGCTAACACCAGTAATGCGAATGCCTGGAATGCTAACGCAATTCCTTTAGTCCCAGACCATGAGGTTAAGAATGAAGAGTTTCAGAATGCGATCCAACTATTGGCTCAGAGTATGACCAACAAGAACAATCAGTAGGTCCCAATTCCTACTAATAGAAATGGTGGATCAGTGGCAGCTAGAGTTCGATAATTTTTTTAAGGATGAATCCGCCTGAGTTTTAGGGTCACAAGTTGGTGAAGACCCACAAAACTTCATTGATGAGGTTAAGAAAATCTTTGGAGTGATGCAAGTGACTGATAATGGTAGGGTTGAGTTGACATCCTACCAGCTTAAGGATGTGGCTCACATATGGTACATTCAGTGGAAAGATTTAGGGGCTACTTTATCTTTTATGACTCCATTTATAGTAGTAATCTTAAATGTCAGTCCAGAAACTCTCGTAGAACCCTTCTCAGTCTCTACTCCAGTCGGTAAATCAGTTATAGCTAGACGGGTATACAGAAATTACCCTGTCACAGTCTCTCAGAAAGTCACCTCAGTAGATCTTGTAGAGTTAGAAATGGTAGACTTCGATATCATTCTAGGCATGGATTGGTTACATTCCTGTTATGCCTCAATCGAT